CTGGAGAGTCAAGGTGGACTCCCAGGTTTGGAGCTTGCACAGTAATGACAGTCACTGAAACACAGAGAGCACTGGAAAAGAATGAGTCCCGGGAGGCTGAGAGATTAGGATGCTCTGGGTGTGAGATGCCCGAGAGACGTCCCAGAAGAGATGCTCAGTGGGCAGTTGGGTCTGAAGCTCAGAACAGAGGTGCCCAGCTTGTAATTTCCTGTGGGTGTGCCACAGCCCTCAGAGAGATGGGGACAGGGAGTGTGAATGGCTCTCCAGGCCCCTCCCTACTAATAGAAGAGCTCTTCAAAGCCATAGCTCCTCATGGGAGAGTTGAGTTTTTCTCCAGGAGTTACGCACACAGAGGTCCCTCAGAAGCAGTAAGAGTAGGGTGTTAAAATGCTTCAGACCTAGCTGAGTAGCCCCTGGATTCAATTTTTCGTCTCTCCATCTACCAGCTGTTTCTATTGTGTGTGTGTTTTTTTTTAAAAAAAATAAATCTTTATTGTTCAAAGTATTACATATGTTCCCTTTTCCCCCATTCCCTTCTTCAAGCCCACCCCACCCCCTGTTTCTTTATTATTTATTAGTTAATCCTCACACGAGGATATTTGTTTTTCATTGATTTTTAGAGAGTGTGGGAGGGGGAGAGACAGAGAGAGAGAAACATTGATGTAAGAGAGACACATCATTGGTTGCCTCCCACATGCACCCCAACCAGGGCTTCCTGCAACTGAGGTACATACCCATGATCAGAATCAAACCCAAGACCCTTCAGTCCGTGGGTTCAACGTTCTATACACTGAGTCAAACCGGCTCGGGATGTTTCTGTTATGTTTTGATGCTTTTCTCAGAAAGGCCCCTCCCTTATTATCTCTGATGGCTGCCAGCATTGCCCAAAACTATCAATAACAGATGTGAATCCAGAAAAAGAGCCACAGACTTCATCCCAGTATTCCCAGCCTTAAGGATCATTATGATTGGACCAGTTGAAGTGGCACGTGACCAGGAAATCTGATTGGGGTGCCTTTGGGACTGGGGTGGGAGTGAGTCTGGAGCCCCACACAAACCACATGACTTGAGAGTGAGACGGGTGGCTCGCTGTCTGAGAACCAGATGCCCGAGCCCTGGGTCACATCCTCCTGTGGTTACAAAGCTGAGGCCACTGTATTTTGGAGTCAGCAGGGAAGTACTGCAGCTGAAGGCCTCTGATGTCCTGTGGTGCCTGTCAGATCCAGGCTGGATATTGGCTGCTGTGGAGACCATGATTGAACCATGGACAGCAGGGTCTACAGTCTTCATCCACCATCTGCCCCAGTTTGACCCTAAGGTCATTGTGGAGGTAAGAGGACTAATCTCTGAGTGTGAACAAACTCCCGGAGAAACTCATGTTTCAGGCTCAAAAGCTGGCCCCTGCTGAGAAGAGTGTATGTAACAAAGAAGCCCATTAGGGTGATGGAACCTGGGCTCTGGGTGTCTCAAATGTGGGGCTCTGAATCAGTCAGTGAGGCTCCCAGAATACACATTTTGAGAAATTAAAGCAACCAGAACAATCTCAGGTCTCCTGGCTCCTCCAGGGCTGTGTAGCTGGTGTGTGCGTGTGAATTTATTGAAGTGTTTAAAACCAGAGCCCTTGGAATAGGATGGTTCTAGTTCCTTTTCACACCTTTAACATTTGTTAGTGGTAACCTTACCTCTCTGAGCTCAGTCTCCTCACCTGTAAGATGGGAGTTTTAATAATCACTACCTCGTAAAATTGTTGGGAATATTGAGATGATACAGGCAAAGTGTGTAAAGTGGTTAGCGCTGAGGCCTGCACCTGACAACACTCAGGAACTGGTAGCAGTGGCTGTTATTGTTATGAGCACATCATGGTGACGATTGAAGTTGACTCCATAAACCCTTTCAAATGACTTCCCTGCTCCTGAACATGCTGTTTGTGTCTCCACTCACTGCACCCTTGCTTTCCTTCCCCAGACCTGCTTCTCCACCGCTCAAGTCCAAGCCCCTCCCCTCACCACTGTGGGGCCAGTTCTTCTCCAGGCCCTTCCATTGGAGCCCCTCACTGCTCATCTTTAATCCATTATACACTTTCTTCTATGTTATCAGTCTCTCACTTCTCATCAACTCTAGTCCCTCAGTCCATAAACACATGCATGTTCAATATATAGATACTGGAGGAATTAACAAATGAATAAATGGGCTGTCTTAGAAGGGAGAGCAGAAAAAAATGGTAATAATTGGCCAGTATTTTGTTGTTGTTGTTGTTTTTGGCCTGTATTTTTCATCTTAACTATAAATATAAAATTTTTTCTCTGTTCACCTTGTAGACACTCTTTAAATACCCCATCACCCAGTACATTGCTGCGTCCTCCGTATTTCGAATGATTCTGCAGGAGAATTTTGGCAGGTATGTAGAGGTGGCCTGTTGTGTTCACAATCGTTGGGTAGGATTTTAAGGAGTATTTCGCTGTGGTCTTGTTGTTGGTGGGGAACAGGCTCTTCTATGGGGTTGGGAGGAAAGAATCCCAAGGATCCACGGACAGGAGATTGAGATGTGGCGATGTGGTTTATTTGTTAGGTAACATCAATAGAGTTCTCCTCCCGGCTTCCCAATGCCCCATCTCTCTGGGCCCTGCCTTGGAAAAAGTCCAGTTTCTTCTTCAACAGCCAACACAAAGGCCAATGCCCGGAGTTTCTGCTTCATGATCCTTTGGGCCTGGAAGTCTCTCCCCTGGCCCAGGTGGCCCCTAGACCTGCATGGTCCTTTGCTCCTGGGCGGGAGGGGACAGAAACAAATTGGGCCAGTGGGGCCCCAGGCAAGAGAGAGAGCCAGCATTACCCCCTGGGTCTCAACCAGGAGCTTTTTCCAAAACAACCCACTAACTTCCCAAGATTCCAGGGGCATGCGCTGGGCCCACCCCTGGCCAAAGATCTTTTCCCAGGTTAGACTGACAGCCTCTGTGGTCCCACACTTCCCTCTGCGCCATTTTGACTTTACTGGGCAGTTCCTGACCTCCCCCCTCCCCCTCCCACACACAATCCCAACCCAGAGGGGAGGGAGGGTGTTAATCCCCTTGGGGGGACTGTGCTGCCATTTCTTGGGTGTGAAACTGGAGCTTCCTGGTGAAGCAAACAGGCCTCTGCTTCCCAGCTGCCTGTGCTCAACACTGTCAGCCTCTCCCCTGGCTCTGTTTCTTTCAATCACCAGCCAAGGATGGTAATAGTCTGACTGTTCTAACTCTGGTTCTTTGAGGACAGTGAGAGCTAGTGTGTGTGTGTGTGTGTGTGTGTGTGTGTGTGTGTGTGTGAAATGCTGGTAGTGATAATTATCAGCCAGTCTAATTAGTTTATTAAGCAGGACTCAGATCCAAATGAAACAGTGAGCCTTGCATCATTGTGAGTTTTTTCTATTTAAAACTTTTTTATTGTGAAATAACAAACATAAGACATAAATTTGATTAAGAAATTGTTGAAAATTAAACCAATATGTAACCACTCATTCAAGTCACAATAAGAGAACATCGCCAGCCCCCAGTGACCTACTCAGACCTCTCCAACTCCTTAAAGGAACTCACTGTCTTGACTTTTATGGTGTTCACTCATTTGTGTGTGTTTTTCTCCCCCTCTCTCCCTTGTAGTTTACCTCCTAAGGAAATATTAGTCTCTTTTACTTGCTTGTGAGCTTTGTAATCATATTATTCTGTAATGTCCAGCTTCTTTTTACAACGTTATATTTCTTAGATGTGCCCATGTTGCATCATGTTGCTGTAGCTAACGTTTATTGCTATATAATATCCCATTTTATAAAAAGTCCACATTTTCTTCAATCCGCTCTACCACTAATGGACATCTGGGTGGTTTGCATTCGAGGGCTGCTGATGACTAACACTGTTCTTGCACATTCACCCTGTGCACATCAGCACTCATTTGTGTGGGGTCTTTCTAGGAGAAATTGCTGAGTCACAGTGACACCGCATCCTACCACCTATTTTCCAAAGTATCCCATCGTCCTGTGCACCCCCTAGCAGGGAGGCAGGATTCCCTTGTTCCACATCTTTGACAATATTTGTTTTTGTCAGAGTCTTTAATTTTTACCAATCTGATGGATGTAGTGTCATTTTGCTATAGTTTTATTTTGTATTTCCCCGTGTTTATAGATTAATTTTGAGCTAAACTGCAATTTTGTCTTTGAACCTAATGGGCACTTATGTATATTTTAGAGACTCTAAAATGGAAATTGTTGCTTCAAAAATCAGACTTAATAACTTTTAGGCACAGAGTTAAAATGTCAAGGAGTTGAACAATTACCCTTACGAAACTAACTCTGAAATACAACTTGCATTTATTCATGAAACCTCCATCCCAGCATGCCCTTGGAGTCTGCCTCAATCTGTATTTCAAAGCTCATATTACAGCCACTCTTTGCAACATTCCTCAGATGATGAACTTGGTCCAAACCCAGTAAAAATCCAATCAGGGCCTCACTAATGACTCCACTGGAGACTCTGTTAATTTTACCTACTTTGGAGAAAGCTCCAGATGAGTGAGGAAGACACCCCTAATGAAACCAGCCTCTTATCCACCACTCCTGTGTCCCAGGAGAGGTGTTGGGGGGGGGAGCGGGAGGGAAGTGTGGGGGGAATGGGTTTGGGCGGGGCCGGGGAGGGGATCCAGAGGTCTGCTACTTCCCTCATTGCCAAGAACTAGTCCAGCTCAGGCTGCTGATGCTCAGACCTTAGTCACTTTTCATTTCCTTCAGGGAGTCCATTATGATTGTGTGATTGTTTTTGTATTATTTCTGGAATTTCCCTGAGGAAAATGGAGGAGAAATAATGTACAGCATACGGCGTGCCTCGTACTGGATATACCTGCTACACGCTCACAGCAGACTTTTCTGTTGTCTCCAAAATTCCTTCTTAAAGGGCTACTACCTGTGACCCCTGTCCTGTTTCCAACACTCAGCCCAATTTTCCTTGATGACCAGAGCAATTGATTGACAATCCCTAACTTGCATTCTCCCCTCGGGAACTCAAAAGCCCGTCAGTTCACATAACCCATCTCCCCCAAGGCCGGAAGTGCAGTCCAATAACCCCCAGCTTGTCCCCAGAGTCCTAGCCTTTACCCCTCATGGTTTATAAAACATAACTCTTTCCACATAGAAGCTTCCCTCAGACGAGGTCTCGATGTCCTAATTTAGTTGGATCCCTAACTGAATCCATAGCTTTATCACGACCACCACCACCCCCTGAAGAACAGTTCATAGGGACTGACAGACAGGAAGTGAATGACATCCACCCGGGAGGCAAGTAAGAAAGTGAGGAAGCAGAAAGGTGGATGGGCTCCTAACTCCTGGGCCTGGGTAGGAGCGTCCAGGGCCTGCTCTGAAGCTCTGTGGACACCTTGTCTCCCCCAAACCTCAGGTTCCCCACTCTGGAGCATTGCTCTACTGGCGGGGAGGCCGTGCTGCCCGAGGAGCAAGAGAAGTGGAGACAACGGACCGGCCTTCTGCTCCACCAGATCTACGGACAGTCGGAAACGGTAGGTGGACGGCCCCTCTGGGCCACTCAGCCCAGCAGAGGAGCTGAATCTGCCAGAGCCTGTGCACAGGCCCCACTGTCCCCACAGCCAGCAGAGGGCGGCTCTGGAGTTCCAGGCTGATTGGCCCCAAATGTTTGCAGAGAGACGATGCACACACAGTCTTTGACTTGTCAAGACCTCAGTGTGCTGACGACTATTGGACAAAACCTTTCAAAGGCATCTGAGGACAGGGGCTGCGTCCCTGGGATCAGGGGAGCCAGGAGGAGCAATGGCAATGGAGGTACCTCCTGCCTCACGGAGGCCCTGCCTCAGAGTGCTGCCCACGTCACCCTCCCTCCCTAGAGCAGCAGCCACAGGGCCAGGCAGGAGCTGGCCTCGGAAGCTCATCCCTGGGAGTGTATGAGGGCAGCACACACTTTTGATTGTGGGGCATGAGCAGGAGGGGAGGAGGGAGCAGAGGCAACACACACACACACACACACACACACACACACACACACACACTGTCACCCCCAAGGCGATCACTGAGTACGAAGTGGGCAGGCTGTGGAGTCTGCTGTGCTGGCATCTTCAACCCCCTGATGCTGACACAGCCACTCTCCCCGCCTCCTACTATCCCCTCAGCTCACAGAGTCACCCCCTCTCAGGACCTGTAGGGCAGGCTCTTTTGGTCCTAATTCACTTATTTGTCTGACGATGTGTTGTTTTTTGCAAAAGAAAATGTTTGTTTTAGTCAGTTAAGTGGTCCTCTTCCAGGCCTGAGAAATGTGAGGGCTCGAGGCCTGACCTTGCATGGCTCCCAGTTCACTTTTGGACAAAGAGAAGCACATGCTACACCCATAACCCCAGTCCCTTGGCATCGACTGCTTGAAGCCACAGAATACTCCCTCCTCGCTGCCCGGAGCCTCATTTCCCAAAGCACTTGCAACCCGCTCGCTCACCTGTGGGCGATTCCGTGTCCTGAAGTGTGAGCAGCAGCTTGGAGAGGGAGGCCTTCCTCTCCCAGGAGCTCAGGTGTCAGTTCCTCTCAGCATCGCCCATGGCAGCTTCAAGCCCATAGGCATACGTGGGCCCTGCCAGAAGCTCCACTTCCCCACCTCTAAAATGGGAACAGAATGCCGACCCAGGGTGGTGGTGAGGACAGGGGCAGGGTGTGCTGGCCCCCGGGCTGTGCTCAGCCTGCACTTCCCCCAGGGCCGGCCTGCTGTCCTCACTGATGTGGGGGTCGTGCGCCAGGTGTCAGGGGTGCAGAGCCCAAGGGGCCGTGTCCATGCTCAGACGCTTGTTTTCTATGGAGGGAAACACCCACAAAAGTCAGTATAATGCCCTGTTGGCGACAACAGAAATGGGGGGAAATACCACCGAAGGAGGATCGCCCAGGCCTTCTCCTGGGGCCTGAGTCTGGCTGGTTGCCCTGAGGAGCCAGGTGAGCTCATAGGTGTGGCCAGTGCAGCTTTCCGCCCCGCAGGCTCTGAGAGGGGGTGCCGGCCCGGCCCCTCTGACAGAGGAGACCCAGGGCATCACCTCATCTTCTGACTGTGAAGGCTTCGCTCTAGGACAGATGGTAGCTTCAGAGAACCAGGAAGGAGGCAGAGGTCACCAGGAGGGCAATGGGGTGGGAGTGGTGGCAGAGGAGCAACTTAAGTGATTTCAGCGCAGCCCCGAGGGCAGATGGGGCAGGGATCCTGTCAGCTTCAGTCTTGAGTAAGTGTTGGTCAAATGGACACAAGCCTGGCGTGCAGTGGGCACTCCCCCGCCCACAACCCGCCCACAGCCCCGAGCTCAGCCCTTGGCTCCTTTCTTGGCCTCCCCCTCGGGACCCTGTGGCCCAGGATGCAGAGCTCCCAGCTCCCCACAGGCTCTATGAGCAGGGGTGCTGTGTAGGATTCTTGCTGCTCTGTGATCTGCCTGGACCGTTTGACAACTGGTATTCTCTTCCTTTTGTGCACAGGGACTGACTTGCGCCACTCCCCGGGGATCACAGGTCAAGCCCGGTTCCATGGGGAAAGCCATCCCACCCTTCGATGTCCAGGTTTGGTGCTAAAGGCGGGGCCAGGGAGCACTGAGGGCTCAGCTGGGATCGGACCCCGTGTGACACCAGGCGGCAGAAGCAGCCGTGTTCCCCGCCCGAGTTGTCTTTCTTCCTCTCCTCCTAGTTCCCTCTGATTTCCTGGGAGGTTTCAGTACTGTGGGCATCAGTGCAGCTCACAGTGCCAGCCGAGGCCGCACAAAGCCGTGGCACACGGGACCTGGAGGAGCGCCGGCAGCTCTGTCCACCCGCTGGGGCTTTTAGCTTGTCCCGACCCTGTTTTGTAGCTTGAAGACACATGCGGCGTCCACGTACCAGGAAACAAACACACCCGTCTCTTGCTGATTTCAAAGACTTGACAGCTTCATTCTGTTTTCTGCCAGGGACCTCCCCATGGTCCCCCCTGGTGTCACATGCATAAGCCAGGCAGAGCTTGGGTGGGCAGGATGCTGGGAGCCCTGCAGGGGGACTCACAGACCTCTTGCTCCAGATCATCGACGACAAGGGCAACATCCTGCCGCCCAACACTGAGGGCAACCTTGGCATCAGGATCAAGCCCACCAAGCCCATCGGCCTGTTCATGTTGTATGAGGTGAGGGCGCCCCGCCTGCCACTCCCTGTCCCGGGCACCCCTGCAGCGAGAAGGGAGGGGACTCAACTCTGTACCCTGAGACTCCTCCCATCTCCGTTATGTGCTCCAGTTCAGTGAAGCCAGGTCTAGTTCCCCCAAAGCTCACAGCCTTTCCTCTCCTAACCCATGTGGCACTGATGGGGTAGAGAAGCCTGGCTTCGGGATCATCGGACTTGGGGCTGATGATTAAGAATGCGGCTTATGCCGAAACCGGTTTGGCTCAGTGGATAGAGCGTCGGCCTGTGGACTGAAAGGTCCCAGGCTTGATTCCGGTCAAGGGCATGTACCTGGGTTGTGGGCACATCCCCAGTAGATGTGCAGGAGGCAGCTGGTCGAGGTTTCTCTCTCATCGATGTTTCTAACTCTCTATCTCTCTCCCTTCCTCTCTGTAAAAAATCAATAAAATATATATATTAAAAAAAAATGAATGCGGCTTAGGCTGGGTTAACATGCTACCATCCAGTTTACCAACGGGGTGGGAACAAACCTAGCAAATGTCCTGAGCCTCCTGAGGCCTCCCATCCCCCACTTCTCAGAGAAAACCACCTGCAGACCATAGGAGTCATGTGTTTCCCCAAGTCAAATAAACGGCAGATCTAAGATTCAAACCCATGTCTTTCAGCCCCAAAGCCTAATGGGAAATCCAGGGATGACAGAACCTGTGATGGGCTCTAAGGAAACTGCCCAGATAACCCCTAGCCCTCCCAGGGTAGTAGAGGCCACTAAGAGGAAATTCTCAGCTTCCAAGATGGGCCATGGAAGGGTGGGCACACCTAAAATTGATCTCAGATTCCACCTGCTTTCTCCAAAAGAACAGCCATCAAATGTTCTCTCTCTTGGTGTCACTGTTGTCATCACTCTGGCCTCCAGGGGGCATTGCTCCTCATACTACCAACCTACAGTAAAAATTGCTGGTTAAACCATTCATTAATTTTGTTTATCTTTTCAAAGAACCAGCTTTTGGTTTCATTGATTTTTTTTGTATAGATTTTTTAGTCTCTATGTTATTTATTTCTGTGCTAACTTTATTATTTCCCTCCTACTTACTCTGCGCTTTTCTTGTTGTTCTCTTTCTAGTTCTTTAAGTTGAAGGGTTGAATAGTGTAGTGTTAATTTTTCTTCTTTTTTGAGGTATGCCTGTAGTGCTAGGAACTTCCCTCTCAGGAGTGCTTTTGCTGTGTCCCATAGATTTTGGGTTGTTGTGTGTTCATTTTCATTTGTTTCCAGTAAGTTTTTAAAATTTATTTCTTGACTAGAGGCGCAGTGCACAAAATTCATGCATGGAGGGGTCCCCTCAGCCCAGCCTGCACCCTCTCCACTCTGGGACCCCTCAGGGGATGTCCAACTGCAGGTTTAGGCCCAATCCTGCAGTCAGACATTCCTCTCACAATCCTGGACCGCTGACTCCTAATCGCTCACATGCCTGCCTGCCTGATCACCTCTATCTGCCCCCCCGCTGCTAGCCAGGTCACCCCCAACTGCTCTCTCCCTGCCAACCTGGTCGCTCCTAACTGCCCCCCCCCCCACCAGCCTGGTCACCACTTACTGCATGCCCTACCAGCCCGATCGCCCCCAACTGCCTCTCTCTGCCAGCCTGGTTGCTCCTAACTGCCCCCCTTCCAGGCTAATCGTCCCCAACTGTCTCCCCTGCTGGCCAGGTTGCACCCAACTGCACCCCCTGCTGGCCTGGTGGCCCCCAACTGCCCTCTCTGCTGGCCTGGTAGCCTCATGAGCCTGCTGTTGAGTAGTTTAGTCGTCCCTCACTGCCCTCTCTGCTGGCCTGGTAGCCTCATGAGCCTGCTGTTGAGTAGTTTAGTCGTCCCTCACTAACCCCCCTGCCAGCCTGGTCGTAGGCAGCCATCTTGTGAGGGTCTGAGGGTTAATTTACATATTACCTCTTTATTATATAAGTATTCATTGGTAACCCATTCTTTGTTTAATAACATGATATTTAGCCTTCCCGTGTTTGAATGTTTTGGGGTGTTTTTACTGTAGTTGATTTCTAATTTCATTCCACTGTGATCTGATAAGTTGCTTGATATGATTTCTATCTTCTTGAACTTGTAGAGACTGGCTTTGTGTCCTAATATCTGGTCTATCTTTGTGAATGATCAATGTGCATTTGAGAAGAATGTATGTTCTGTTGCTTTGGGGTGAAATGTTCTATAAATGTTAGTTAAATCCATCTGATCCAGTGTGTCCTTTAGAGTCACTGTTTCCTTGTCACGTTTTTGTCTGGAAGATCTATCCAGTGAAGTCAGCAGGGTGTTAAAGTCCCCTACTATGACTGTATTGTTGTTAATCTCTCCGTTAAAGCCCTCTAGCAGTTTTTTAAATATATTAAGGTGCTCCTATATTGGGTGCATATATGTTTACCAGGGTTCTATCCTCTTGTTGGATTCATCCCTTTAGTATTGTGTAGTGATCTTTGTTGTCTTTTGTGATGGCCTTCATTTTGAAGTCTATTTTGTCAGATATGAGTATTGCTACTCCAGCTTTTTTTCCATTTCCATTTGCATGGAAAACTTTTTTTCCATTCCTTCACTCTCATGATGTGTATGTCTTTTGTTCTGAGCTGGGTCTCTCATAGACAGTATATAGTTGGCTCATGTATTTGTATCCGTTCAGTTATCCTATGCCTTCTGATTGGACCATTTAATCCATTTACATTTAGGGTTATTATTGATAGGTACTTATTTACTGCCATTTTAATTCTGCATGTGTAGGTTTCTCTTTGTTTCTCCTTCTCATTACAGCAGTGCCTGTAGCATTTTTTATAATGCTGGCTTGGTGGTTATGTATTCCTTTGGCCTTTTTTTTTCTTTTTTTTTTTGTCCAGGAAGCTCTTTATTTGACCGTCTTTTTTGAATGATAGCCTTGCTGGGTATAGTGATCTTGGTCTCAGATCCTTGCTTTCCATTACCTTGAGTACTTCATGCTATTTCCTTCTGGCCTATAGAGATTTTGATGAGAAGTCAAGTGTCAGCTTTATGGGAACTCCTTTGTAGGTAACAGTTTGCTTTTCTCTTGCTGCCTTTAAGATTCTCTCTTGGTTTTTAATTTTTGGCATTTTAATTATGATGTGTTGGGGCATGGACCTGTTTGGATTCTTCTTGCTTGGGGTTCTCTGTGCCTCCTGAACTTGTGTGACTTTTTTCTTCACCAGGTTAGATATGCTTTCTGCCATTATTTCATCAAACATTGACCAGCTGGTTCCTCCACGCTCCCTACTAGGGACTAAGCCCACAACCTGGGCATGTGCCCTGACCAGGAAGTGAACTGGCAACCTTTTGGTTCATGGGATGACGCTCAACCAATGGAGCCACATTTGCCAGGGCCACAAGCTTTCTTTGAGGATGAGATGAGATAGCACTTGGGGAAGAAAATTCATTTAACAAATGTTTATTGACACCTTCCATCTGTTCAGCTACTGTGTTATACTAATAGCAATTGTCAGTGTATTTTGTACATTAATTGACCAGTAGCATGCATTGAGTGTTTGCATGTAGAGTAAATAGACTCAGAGGGATTACAAAAGTTGCACAGGTGCCTGGTGACGTGAGAAGCAGGATTCAAACCCAAATCTGAGCCCCAGGTTGCAGCTCAACATCTCTAACCTCACTGCCTTCAATAAGAGAGACGTTCTCTTTGCAGAATGACCCAGCGAAGACAGCCAAAGTGGAGTGTGGGGACTTTTACAACACTGGGGACAAAGCAACTATTGACGAAGAGGGCTACATCTGGTTCCTGGGGAGGGACGATGACATCATCAACGCTTCTGGGTAGGTGTGGCTGAGCTGGGGCCTGACAGCTCTAGGTTGCTTCACATTTCCTCCATGCACTGGGGATGGGCCCTCAGCCTATTCCTGATGCAGCCATGTCTACAGGGCCCTGGCCGGGGGTATCTGTGCATCTCCCCCGCTATCAAAATAAAGGTCAAGTAGGCCTGGAAGTGCAACCACCGTAGACATTGTGCAATTTAAAGAGGGGATATAGGATTGGGAAGGGAGATTTATTTGAGCCCCTATCTGTCCCCATTGGTTGGGGGAAATTATTCTCTGTGTTCCTCTAATTAAAGGGACACATGTCACAGAACAACAACAATAGCAGCTAAGCTTGTGGAGTACTTACTGTGTGAAAGTACACTCCTCTGTGCTTTGCTTAACCCAGTAGATGCCATTATTGTGCCTATTTTACAGATGAGAACACTGAGTCATTGACTAGTGAACTAAGTTGCTGATAATTTCATGGTACTGCAGGGTGAAGCCCAGATTTGAACCGAGGTAGTGTGGCTCCCCATCTGTTGTTCCTCGTGCCTAGGTGATTTGTGGAGGAAAAGTGACACAAGTAACACCTTCCTTTGGATGCATCAGGGAAATTAAGTCGGTTTTACTTTTTAAACTTCTAAATGAGATGCTGATGTAGTGGGACAGAATTTACCTAAACGTTTAAGACAAAGTCTGAGGCTCCCAAGAGTACAGTAAGAGTCCTGCTGGGAAGCTCCTGGTGCCACGCCCACAGCCCCAGGAGGACAGCCTTCCACCCCCACCCGCCCACAGGAGGCAGTGAGGGGAGACCTGGGAGCATCTGAGCCTGGAATGCCCAGGTCTTCACATCCTGGTCCCACTGCAGCGCCTTTTCACAGGCCTCTGGCTCTCGTGAAGGTTGCCCTCTGTGCCCAGGGGAGCTGTGACTCCCAAACATGGGATTGGAGGGCCTGGGTCACTGCAGCCCTGGCATCTGCTCAGACCCAGAGCAGGAACCCTTGGTCCCGCAGGTACCGCATTGGGCCGGCAGAGGTGGAGAACGCCCTGGCTGAGCATCCGGCGGTGGCTGAGTCAGCTGTGGTGAGCAGCCCGGACCCGATCCGAGGGCAGGTGAGGAGCAGGACAGGAGGTCATGGGGTCTGCATGTGGGCACTGGAAGGCTGGTGCGGGGGAACCTTCCAGAGCAGTTGGTGTGCGTGGCGCACTTACACCGTGTGGGCAGCAGGAGGCAATGAGGCATCATCCGTAACATCCTGACTAGATACTGGGTGAGCTGGCTCATTTAACCCTCACCACAACGTATTGAGTTAGAGACTCTTACTTATTATACCTTTTAATAGACAAAGAGACAGCATACAGAAGTTCAATAACTTGCCCAGATTGTACTGTGGTGGAGCCAGGATGGAATTCTGAGCACTCTGTTTCCAATGCATTCATTGGATTTATTGAGCACCTACTATGTACACGGCCCTGTGCAATTAAATGGGGACATAAATAACAATATAAAAGCAATAAGTTCAGCCCAGCCTGTGTGGCTCAGTGGTTGAGTGTCAACCCAGGAACCATGTTTGATTCCCAGTCAGGAGACATGTCAGGTTTTGGGCTAGAGCCCCAGTAGGGGGCCTGCAGGAGGCAGCAGACTGACTATTCTCTTTCATCATTGATGCTTCTATCTCACCCCTCCTTTCCTCTCTGAAATCAATAAAAACATATTGTAAAAATAAGAATCAACAACTACTTAAAAAATAAAAACAATAAGATCAATAAGTTACCAACAATTATTAAATGCTCACAAGGTTCCAAGCACAGAACTGTACATACATTAGTGGTAAAAATGATGATGAAAACAATGATGCTGGGGATAATAATGAAGTTACACTGGGTGCATGTTTTATGTGCATCATCTCATGGAATCTGAACATAAGGCCACCATGTTCAGCTCCATGGGATGAACCTGTACTCTGCGCATGTCACAGAGAAGGAATTTGAGGTTAAGTGATTTCGCAAGGGAAAGAGGAGAAATTGGAAGTATTTGGGTTTGAACCTGGCCTTGTCCTTTTCCAAAGGCTCAGGTGTCAGCTTGCTTTGCCATTCTTTACATTAACACTTACTTTTAAACCAGGCAACTGGGTGGCACTCACCCTGAGGCCGGGCTCTGGTTCTGCGTTGTAGTTGGTGAAGGCCTTCATTGTCCTGACCCCAAAGTTTCTGTCCCATGACCCGGACCAGCTCGCCAAGGAGCTGCAGGAGCACGTGAAGGCAGTGACAGCCCCGTACAAGTACCCGAGGAAGGTGAGTGGGGCCGATGCTCGAGCCCTTCCTTGCTCTGCTGCCCCGAGTCTGGTAGGGTGGCCGGGAGATGCTGAAACCGCACATAGAATGAGCATTTTTCTCTGCAGAAGAAGCAATTCAGCTTAGGGGTGGATGCAGCCAACTGAGTGGGATGGAACCTCTATTCCAAAACGTGCTGCACATTACCCCGAGGGCAAAAATATCAGACCAGTGCCCAAAGCTATCCAAGGAGGCTATTTAACATCCTTCAAAATTTGAAAAAGACATCCAAATCAGCAGCTTTCTAAGTATTCTTCAGCGTGATTCATACTAAGATATACATTTGATACTGCCACTCAATACTTATTTATGTACACAGCAAATGAGTGTTAACAAAATTATATTTAACCTTAAAAGATGCCGTCCATTCTTGTACTTTTTATTCTACTGCATTTGTTTTTCTGTTTACAGATTTATTTATTGTCAATCTTCACCTGAGGATATTTTTCTCATTGATTTTTAGAGAGCGTGGAATGAGGGGAGGGAGGGAGAGAGGACAAAAGAGAGAGAGAGAGAGAGAGAAACATTGATATAGAGAGACACATCAATTGGATGCCTCCTATACACACCCTAACTAGAGCCAGGGATGGAAACTGCAATCCAGGTACATGCCCTGAACCTGAAATCAAACCTGAGACCCTTCGCTGTGTGGGCCGACGCTCCAACCCCCGAGAAACACTGGCCAGGGCTGCATTTGTCCAATAGAGAAATTATAAAATTATTTGTGAAATGTAATATTATCTTGTAATTTTAAATAATGTAGATTTTTAAATTTTTAATATAAAGGTACCACAATATGTTGTTAAGACAAAAAGCAGGCTATGAGAGAATATACATGATATTATTGTATTTGTTTAAAAACAAAGTTTGAAAGGATATGGATGCCAACACGTTAACATTTCCTACCTTGTCTGAATGTTTATAGTCAGTGCATATTGTAAAGCTGTGTAGCTACCTACCATTACTGAATATTTACTTCATGTGCCAGGCCCTGGATTCAATGCTTCACGTGCATTATTATTTCATTTCATCCTCTCCGCAGCCTGAGATGGTCTAACCAAGTATTTTACGGAGTTGAAGTTGAGGCTCAGAGAATAGAGTTAATACAGGCAGAGCTGGACCTCAAACCATGTGTCTCCAACAGCAGCAGCGTTCTTGCTTTTAATGTCAGGCTCTGCTGCCTCCTAGAGATAGAACAGGGATGCGTACCAGTTAGGAAGGGCTAGATGTTACTGTGAGTAACAGTCAGCCCCACAGCCACGTGGCTTATTCTAGGGAAGGCAGCTCCCATGCTCATGCCATATGCCCACCCTGGTCTCCTGGGACCAGGTAGAGAAGCAGCCACCACATAGATACCTGCCTGGTGCTGTCAGAGATGGACAGAGAGGGTGGCCAGGCTCAGAGGTTCCGACTCTCCTGTGAGAGGTGGCACGCTTCACTCCCCCACATTTCATTGGTCAGAGCACGTCACAGGGCTGCAGCCAGCTTCAGGGGGTCAGGAGGAGAACCTGACATGAGGCCACCACCTGCTGTAGCCTGTATGGGGGATGTGCAGGGTGAAGGGGGGAGTGGGGACTGGTAGGAAGTGACAGCAGGACTCAGGATGATTTGCTTTCTCCTCACCCAGGTGGAGTTTGTCCCTGAGCTGCCCAAAACCGTCACTGGCAAGATCAAAAGGAATGAACTTCGGGAAAAGGAGTTTGGTCAGATGCAACAGCAGTAAATTCAGCATCCCTTCTGGGTGTGACCTTGGGCACACCCCTGGCTGTCTCGGTGCCCCCACATGGCGGGGCGAGGGGGGATGTTGAGGCTGATGGGGAAGGGCCCAGGACGGCCAGCATTCCCGCATTTCTGTTCCTTTAAGTGAACATCAGTCACTACCCTGCCTCCAAGGCTCTTGTTCCTTTGGATGCCCAGGTGGGCGCTCAGATCGGGGCTGAAGATAATAAAGTGCTGACATCGACATCAGGGTGATCCTGCGTTGTCCCTTCATCATGTACATGAACCTGTGCTGAATGCGGTCCCTCCTTGCTCTCCCCCCTCCCCCTGGAGAGAGCACAGGGCCTGGTTCTCGCTCCTATTGCCTCCCACACACACCCCAGTGTTCCCAGGTGGCCCTGCACGTCCAGTAGGTGACCAGGACCCAGAGTTCCGGGAGTGATGCTCTGAGCAGCCCAGGCACCTGCCTCCGCTGGGTCCCAGCCTAGGCCCGGGGTGGGCAAGTGAGTGACCAGCTCTCCAGGGACCGGGTTCCACAGGACTCTCCCAGCTTCTGCAGAGGTGCCCCGTCCCTCATTCCTAGGAGGGGCCAGGGGCCTAGGGGTCTTACCCCTCAGCTTTCCCCCATGTGCACCCACCCACATTCTTTCCCAGGGATCCAGGGTCTTCCAGCCCTTCTCCCAGGGCCCAGAGTCCTCCCTAAAAACTCTCCCTCCGCACTCTTCAAGTTCTTTCTTCCATCAGAGGCTTCCCTACCTTCTCCCCCAACCTGGGCATGTGGTTCTATGAACTGACCCTTCACTTCATCCATCCTTAGGATGGGACCCCCAGGGGTACATCACAGGCTGGGAGCAGCAGGGGCAGAAGGGGCTCAGCCTGGGGGTTGGGAGGAAGCACATATTGTCTCTTTTTCACTCACTCCTGGGAGTCACTCTTAGGGAGATTGCTTCTAAAGCCCTTTGCCAGGAGGCACAGACACACAAACTCACAGGGAAATGTACCGATACCGATACCGCTTGGGGGTGATGTAGTCCTTGAGCCTTTTTTTTTTCCTTTTTGGTCTGGGAAGCTCTTTATTTAACCATCTATTTTGAATGATAGCCTTGCTGGATATAGTGATCTTGGTCTCAGATCCTTGCTTTCCATTACCTTGAGTACTTCATGCCATTTTTGTCTGGCCTGTAGAGTTTCAGATGAGAAATCAGGTGTCAGCCTTTGGGAGCTCCTTTGTAGGTAACAGTTTTCTTTTCTCTTGCTGCCTTTAAGATTCTCTCTTGGTCTTTAATTTTTGGCATTTTAATTATGATGTGTCTGGTCATGGGCCTGTTTGGGTTATTCTTGCTTGGTGATCTCTGTGCCTCCTGGACTTTGTGGCTTTTTCCTTTACCAGGTTAGGGAAGTTTTCTGCCATTATCAAACATGTTCTCTGTCTCTTCCTCACTTTCTGCCTCTTTCGGCACACCTACAATGTGAAAATTGTTACGTTTCATGTTGTCCCACTGTTCCCTTAAGCTGTCTTCCTGTTTTTTAATGGTTTTTCTTTTTGGTTCTCTGATTGAGTGATTTTTTTTCAACTCTGTCTTCTAATTCACTGATTCTGTCCTCAGTTTTCCCTAATCTGCTGTGTATTCCTTCCAATGTGTTATTTATTTGTGCTATGTCATTCTTTACTTCTGTTTTCAGAGTCAGAGTTACCATATCTCTTTTTCATGCAGTTGAGCATCTTTCCATCATTACCCTGAACTCTGTTTCAGACAAATTTCTTATCTGTGTTTCATTTATCTCTTCTTTTGAAGAATTCTCTTGTTCTTTCTTTGGGGTTTGTTTCTTTGTCTCCTCATTTTCATTGTGTGTTTGGTTTTGTGACTGTTTATTAAGTAGATCTTCTACACTTCTCAATCTCTTGTGCAGTACAGAGTCAAATGCTGTTTTTGACTAATTAGACCAGGCAAAGACTTAAAGCCTCCAGAGTCCTCCTCTGCCTGAAGACTGAAAGGATTCTGACTTGAATTGCCCTCAGGCAATCATCCTCAGTTGTGGCAAGAGCTTTTTTTTCAACAGGGTGGGGCAGTGGCTTCTACCTGGAGGCTGTTATTTTTAGTGTCTTATGTGACCTCAGGAACTCAGCACTGTGGGGCAAGGTGTTTTCCAATAGGGTGGGTCAACTGTCTTGCCCCCAGGCAAAGCCTGCTGCATAGCAAATGTCTGTGTAGGAAAGATGTCTTCTGTTGCATAGGGGACTGATTCAGCACAGGAAACCATGGTGTCTGCCTTCTGAGCTCTAACCCCAGAGCCCCCGATCCTGGCTTCTGTTCCCACAGCTCCAGTCCACTCTGCCATCCCTCTGCCTGAGCATAAAGTGGGTGGCTCCACAGGGAATTTTGGGTGTTGGCCATTTAAGAGGGTGCCTGAATTTCCAGCATGTCTCCCTGGCAGACAGCAACCCCAGTGCTTTTCACCCAGATGTTATGTGGGTACCCTTCTTATTTCTGGTGCTCTTTATTGCGGAGGGGGGGGGCATCTTGGGGATTAGACTCCAGAGTTCTCCGTGGCATACCCCACAGCAGAGATATCTCTCTCTGGAACTTCTTGCTGTCTGTGGATGCCCAGCCAGCCCTTTCCCCCCTCTGCCCCTCCATCCAGTCTCTATGCAGTCTCCACTTTTGGTCCTCCATTATTAGGGTTCTCTCTAGCAAGTCTTCAATTGATTATTGGGGCAGTTTTTCTGTATTTTATTTCTAATTCCAGTTTGTTCTTGGGAGGGTGTCTGTGCAGCATCTACTTACTTTGCTGCCATTTTGAATCTCCTCTGATTCAATAATAGTACTTTCCACATAATATTTATATTATACTAGAGGCCCAATGAACAAAATTTGTGCAAGGGTCTTGGCTCTTGCAGGCCTGGCTGACTCAGGCGGCCTCTGCAGCCCCTCACAGCCTAGGCAGCTTGCCTCGGCCCTCACAGCTGTGGAGGCTTGCCTCAGCCCTCACAGCCCCAGCTTCGTCTGGAAGGTCATCCGGAAGGGCATTCGGAAGGTCATTTGGCTTTCCAGTCTAATTAGTACACTACGCTTTTATTATTATAGGTGACAGGTATATGGTTTGTTAAAATGTCTGTAAAATAATTAGTTTTTAATAAATATGAGTCAGTATTTTTTAGTCATGAAAAATTTCTGAGTCTCAATTAATTCATTTCTTTAAAAAAAAGAAATACAAGGTTCTAAACTGTGGAGAGTGGCTACAGTGTTTGGACAGGTTCAAGCCTCAGACTAATGAGAATACATGGTCCCCTCGTGGCAAAGCCACGTGCAAGTTCTAGCTTGGAGGGCAACGCCCTCTCAGCACAATTATAACCCACCTTAATGTTGTAAACATCTTTACCAGCCCTTACTTTGCCTCGTGGAATCTGGCTATGAAATAAAGACTCGGCTTGCAGGCTGTGGTGCTGTCTCTCCATCAGAGAGAGCAGTGTCCCACCCAGACCCAGTTTTATTCTCTTGTCTGTCTTTTCTAATCTCTCACTGCCACTCCCTCAGGTTCACCCATGGCTGTGCTGAGAATGGTACACTAATCTACACTAATAAAAGAGAAACATGGTAATTAGCGTACGACCGCTACCCTTCCCATTGGCTAATCAGCATATCCTTATGCAAATTAACTGTCAGCCAAGATGGCGGCCGGCAGCCAGGCAGCTGGAAGCGAGCATGAGGCTTGCTTGCTCCAGGGACTGCAGACTGCAACGTTCCCCGCCTGACTTGCCGGCCTCTGAGCTACAACTCTAAGAAACTATGTTGCAAATATAGAAGCTTAACAAAACCCCAGAAAAAAGCTTTCAGCCAGCCTGGATCTCAGAGCTAGAGTTATACATTGTTTCAATTATAGCAGCGGAAGCCTCAGAGCTAGAGCCAGAGCTAAAGCTGGCCTAGAATAAAAAAAAAAAAAAAAAAAGAAAAAGAAAAAAAGGAGTGGTTGGGAGCTTCAGTCAATTGCCAGCCTGAAAGCAGCCCTCAGCTCCTCACCCAGACTGGCCAGGCACCCCCAGTGGGGACCCCCACCCTGATCCAGGACACCCTTCAGGGCAAACCAGCCGGCCCCCAGGCCTCTATCCTATATAGCAAAAGGGTAATATGCCTCCCAGCACCGGGATCAGCAGAGCCTCGAGGCCTCCTGGCACTGGATCAGCATGACAGGGGGCAGTGCCCAAACCCCCTGATTGCCCTGCGGCTCTGTGTGTGACAGGGTGCGGCGCCCCAACCCCGCCCCCCCACAGGCCCTGCTCTGTGTGTGACAGGGTAGAGCCATAACCTCCCCATCGGCCCTGCCCTGAGTGTGAGAGTGGCGGCGCCCCAACCCCCTGATCGGCCCACCTCTGTGTGTGACAGGGGGCGGTGCCCCAACCCCCCCCCCCCCACGGGCCCTGCTTTGTGTGTGACGGGTAGAGCCATAACCTCCCCATCGGCCCTGCCCTGAGTGTGACAGTGGCAGCGCCCCAACCCCCTGATCCACCCTGCTGTGTGTGTGACAGGGGGCGGTGCCCTAACTCCCCTATCAGCCCTACTCTGTGAGTGACAGGGGGGAGCTCCTCAACCCCTGATGGGCCCTGCTCTGTGCGTGACAGGGGGGAGCTCCTCAACCCCCTCATGGGCCCTGCTCTGTGCATGACAGGGGGAGCTCCCCAACCCCCTGATTGGCCCTGCTCTGTGCGTGACAGGGTACGGAGCCCCAACCCCCCTGATGGGCCCTGCTCTGTGCAGGGGGCAGTGCCCCAACCCCCTGATTGGCCCTGCTCTGTGCGTCACAGGGGGTGGTGCCGCAACCTCCCCATAGACCCTGCCTTGAGTGTGATAGGGGGCGGTGCCCCAACCCCCCAATCAGCCCTACCCTGAGCGTGACTGAGGGTGGCATCGCAACCTCCCAATCCGCCCTGCTCTGTGCATGACAGGGGGCGGCGCCCCAACTCCCCAAACAGCCCTGCTCTGAGCCCGACCAGGGGCTGCACCTAGGGATTGGGCCTGCCCTCTGCCACCCAGGAGCAGGCCTAAGCCAGCAGGTCGTTATCTCCCGAGGGGTCCCAGACTGCGAGAGGGCACAGGCCGGGCTGAGAACCCCCCCCTCCCCCCCGAGTGCACAAATTTTTGTGCACCGGGCCTCTAGTACTATATAATAAAGAGCTAATATGCTAATTAGACTGGACAGCAGAACAACCTTTCGTAATGACAAGTGGGCGGGGTCGTGAGGCAACCAGGGCC